GCTCTCCCTTTAATTCTGTATCTATATTTCCCTTTCTGTCTTTTTCTCGCTCTCTTTCACAAGTCCTTGCAATTCCTTGTGGGTTGGAAACGTGACCACAGAACTGACAGAGAAACATCTGCGGGACCTCTTCAAAATGTGAGATTTGATGCCACATTGACCTTTTACAATATTTTAGATATAAAATGATTTCCAATGACTTGTGTTTTCATTTTTGTTGATGTTTGCCAGTTATGGAGAAATCGACAGCATTCGGGTTCTGCACGAACGTTTCTGTGCGTTTGTTAACTTTAAGAATGCCAACATGGCCTCCAGTGCGATCGAGAAACTCAATGTGAGTGAAACCCTGATGATAGTTAATTATTATTATTATTATTATTTATTTTTGTTGTTGTTGTTGTTATCATTATTAATCAAGATATATATATATGTATATATATATATATACATACATACACACACACTCTTCTCAGGGACATTTTATTGAGAATACCCGACTAGTGGTTCGATATCCAGATCGACGGATTCAGAGAGTCCTGCCAACACCTGTCATTCCACAACCTGCAGGGGCTGCTGGGTAATTCAGTTTCTTTGCTGTTTATGAAAAAAGTAATGGTGCTTGCTTTTGATGTTATTAACAGCAATTATTGTCTTCCATAAAAAAACTGTATGTTCAAACAAATGTTCTTTGAAAGAAACACCGATGTCCAAACAAATTTGTGGTTATTCCAGGCCAAGACGCAGAGGTCCTGTCAACGGAGATGAGTGTTACTTCTGGAGAACCACCGGCTGTCATTTTGGAGATAGGTGTCGCTATAAGCACATTCCCGATCATCGAGGCAAAGACTGGCAACCTTGAGTCAACACTAGCCTCTCTTTCTTTCCCCTAAGAACTCTGGGAGACGACTGCATGACTGTTGGGACTGTAATCTTCACTTTGATTATCTGTAGGTCAGGACCAGGATTGTGGATCAGAGTCTTACGACAGCTCTCTTGAGGTTCGAGTTCTTCACTGTCAGACTCCGAACCTCACAGGGTTTTAAAGCAGACAGGACTCTGGGAAAAGTCTAATTTGAGGTGAGGTTTGGGTGGTGCAGAGTGCCAGAGCATCGCTGCACCGCATTGCCGTCTGCTGAGGTTTACATGGCCTCTCATATCGTATGCTCTCTTCTCTCTTCCTGTGCCAACAGTAGATCTGATCTGACATTTGAGTTCATCCTAAGAGAACGACTTCAATTCTGTATTTGAGGTCGCAAACCCTCAAAATGAGGATGGGAGAATCGTACCAAAGAATAATACTATGCCATATGTGGATTTTACGTTGAGAAAGAGAAAAGGCATTCAGGGAAAATTAGCT